CTTGGATACACCTCACCTGGATACACCTGACCCTGGATACACCTGACCCTGGATACACCTCACTTGGATACACCTCACCTGGATACACCTGACCCTGGATACACCTGACCCTGGATACACCTCACTTGGATACACCTCACCTGGATACACCTGACCCTGGATACACCTGACCCTGGATACACCTCACTTGGATACACCTCACCTGGATACACCTGACCCTGGATACACCAGACCCTAGATACACCTCACCTGGATACACCTGACCCTGGATACACCTCACCTGGATACACCTGACCCTGGATAAACCTGATCCTGGATACACCTGATCCTGGATACACCTGATCCTGGATACACCTGACCCTGGATACACCTGACCCTGGATACACCTGATCCTGGGTACACCTGATCCTGGATACACCTGATCCTGGATACACCTCACCTGGATGCACCTGACCCTGGATACACCTCACCTGGATACACCTGACCCTGGATAAACCTGATCCTGGATACACCTGATCCTGGATACACCTGATCCTGAATACACCTGACCCTGGATACACCTGACCTGGATTCACCTGACCCTGGATACACCTCACCTGGATACACCTGACCCTGGATACACCTCACCTGGATACACCTGACCCTGGATACACCTGACCCTGGATACACCTGATCCTGGATACACCTCACCTGGATGCACCTGACCCTGGATACACCTCACCTGGATACACCTGACCATGGATACACCTGACCATGGATACACCTGACCCTGGATACACCTCACCTGGATACACCTGACCCTGGATAAACCTGACCCTGGATACACCTGACGCTGGATACACCTGACCCTGGATACACCTCACCTGGATACACCTGACCCTGGATACACCTCACCTGGATACACCTGACCCTGGATACACCTGACCCTGGATACACCTGACCCTGGATACACCTGACCCTGGATACACCTGACCCTGGATACACCTGACCCTGGATACACCT